GAGCAACATAAATATAATTATTGCAATTATGTCATGGTAATTTGAATTTTAAAATATTTTTCAGGTAATATTAGAAAGTTTGAGGTTGGCAAGCATTGTGTCCTTCACTTTCAGAGAAGCTGTGGTTGATGTGGAGTATAATGGTAAGATTTTAGTATTAATTTCTTAGGCTTCAAATGTTTTTTATTGCAATGGAACATTTTAATTTATTTTATTTTTTGTGGGTTTTATTATTTTTAAAATTAGAATTAATTAAATTAGTGAACATAATATATAATTTTTTTTTCTTGTGATAGGCTATCTTATTCCAAAAGGTTGGAAGGTTATGCCATTGCTCAGAAATATTCATCACAACCCAGAATTTTTTAGTGAGCCTAAAAAATTTGACCCATACAGATTTGAGGTATGAGAAAAATTAACCTGATAATTTTACTTTATTATTATTATTATTATTATTATTATTATTATTATTATTATTATTATTATTATTATTATTATTATTATTATTATTATTATTATTATTATTATTATTATTTTAAATTTTCTTTAATTTTTGTTGGGCTGGGTTGGTGGATGCAGGCTGCTCAAAAGCCCAATACTTATATGCCATTTGGTACTGGGTCCCACTCCTGCCCAGGAAATGAACTTGCCAGACTTGAGATGCTCATTTTCATCCATCATCTAGTTAACAAATTGAGGTAAGAGGAAAAAAAAATATTTTATTTTTTTTTTAAAAAAAATAATTTTGTAGATAATAGATAAACCTCATCAGTATTTGAATTGAATTAAATTTTGATATATTAATCTGGCTGAAATTCTAATAATCTCGCAATTTTTAAAATTTTTCCGATTTTGAAAATACTTTTCGTCAAAATATCGAGCCCAATATTATCGTTAGATTGATCAATTTTAAAATTTTTCTCTCAGAAAATTATGATTGTCTAACCGTTAGGTAACTATCTAGCAATAGCCTTATTGAATTTAATTTAATTATCATATATATCTTATTGAAAGATTTCAATTAATTTATTTGATCTTGTGCCCTCGAGTGCAGGTGGGAAGTTGTGGGCTCAAAAGGTACTATAGAGTACAGCCCGTTTCCAGTTCCTCACAAAGGGCTCCGGGCCCGATTCTGGATAGAGCCCGATAACCAATAATCTCTATAATTAGCAAATTAGCAAAAGATATTTAATTACAAAAGGCAAATAAGGACCGTGATCTGCTTTTGTCCCCCAGACTTTTTTTTATTATTTATTTAGCAAAGGGTAAAATCTATACTCATAAGAATGTTAGGGGGCAATTTTTAATTTTCGGAAGTATGAATTGTAGTAGTGAGTTGGGATAAATATCGAAAGGGAAATAATTGATGATGTTATCTTCTTTGTAATATATATTTTTGTTTGTTATTATATGATGAATAAATTAAGTTCAGTGTTTTAATGGATATGCATATTTATATTATATAATGTTATATTTTTATTTGGTTCGCCTATATTCTTACAAGTACTCGATAGCAAGTGACCGTAGTATGTGTTAACAACATCATTTCTCGAGAGACCGAATAATTAAAATATTAAATATTTAATTATGATAGCGTCAATTTTATATGGATGATCGACGAGATGAGTAAATTAAACTAACAATATAACAACAAA